CACAAATCCTGACATGACGTCACACTTTCAGCTCACCTAGTTTCTTGTCCGGGTGTAAAGAACACGAGCTCATCTGACTGCGTTCTGGAGCAGATCCTGAGGTCCAGTACGACCTGGTATGACGTATCAGTTGTTATACCGTAGTAGATACCAACCTGTTGGGAGCTGAATGATCTGATCTCTAGTTCGCTAGTAGAACCTCCCTCTGTATACTGCTTCACTTGTCCTGATGGAATATAAACATCATATTATAGTATAATGGGTCTAATGAGGAAGGTCGCGGCAGTGCTGCAGCTGTCTTCTTTATTATATTTATAGTTACTAGACGTTTTAAGTTATTTTAAAGTTAAACTTTACAAAATTATCATATTTATTCACTTTATTATAATTTTATAATCATACTAGAAGAGCCCTGATTCCTAGACGGCTGACCACTTCTCCTCTTTTAGATAAACATATACCGGCAGTTTCCAGGCCAGGCTGGAGGGTAGAGACTAAAGAAACAAATATGCTAACCCAATTATCTAAACAATATCACTAGGTCACTATAAGCTGATTCGGACCGACCGCGGCAGCACTCATTCCTTTTTTTAAATCTTTTATTTTTATTTCCCATACCTCACATTATGACATCATGACTCACAGATCTCTGGTTACCGAGCAGATTCGGAGCCAAAACTCCTTAGTTTTGGGTTCTAAAGTTCCGCTAATTCATAAATTCCGCGATCAATTAAAGGCAAGATGACCGATCTGTTGTTTACGTTTGGTGTGCTGGCAGGCAGCAATCATGATGTCATGTTTTAACGATAAGAAAATATCACGCCATGACTGCTTTTTCGAGCTTATCCACTGCTAATGTGACTGAAGCTCTGGGAAATCGTGATAGTTGTGATTAATAAACTATCTCAATTCTCAGAACCGTAAAATGTCTCGTTTTTAGCATTCCAAGTATTTGCTGTAAATATTTTACTTTATGTTTTATATGTAACTAGAAAGTTCTCGATCACAGAGAGGAAGATAATATTAGTTTTTATCGCATCAAAAAATATCTGTCACAACCGAAATGTATTTCGCACTGAACACCACGTAATAACAAAAAAGCCGATCAAAATTTCGCTCGCAAATCTTTGCAAGTGCACATGCGTTTTGAATACCGTTACCATGGTTACTATGCAACTTCCTATTTCTCATCTGATTTGCACGTGGGCGGTCGTACACAGGAATCGACCGGGACATGATTTCAGGCCTGACCGGGACCGGGACCGGGACCGGGACCAAGAATCCTGAATTAACCGGGACCGGGATGAAAAATGTCACTTGACCGGGACCGGGACCGGGACCGGGATAGCTCAAAATTGCCAATCCCGGTACCGGGATTCCCGGTACCGGGAATTCCGGTCGATTACTGGTTAATTCATGATCATAATTTATTACTCAAACTTGTTTAGCAATTTTAAACATTGTTTTATTTGGCTCAGAGGATGTTTAAAAATGAAATTCACAATGAATGAAAGGAAAAACTTAAAATCACAGTGAATGAAATTATGTAAAAGATCCCGGTCAAAATCCCGGCAAATTTGAGTGATTGACCGGGACCGGGACCGGGACCGGGATCATAAATCAGCATTTGACCGGGACCGGGACCGGGACCGGGATAGCTCAAAATTGCCAATCCCCCAGGTCGATTCCTGGTCGTACAGACATACAAAAAGAATCTTTTGAATTATAGTATAGGTTATGTTAATATTTACCAAAAAGTACAATGAACTGACCTCCAGTGAAGATGTACCAAAATACAGGGAGGTCTGTGTTGGTTCCGCTGATGGAAACTGAGTAGGTAGCAGGGATATACAGGATTAAAGTAGGGTTTACAGTCCGCGATTTAACCTGGGGTCAAGGGGTTACTCTTAGGGGATGTTGACAGAATTTAAAGACTTGAAATTAAAAAGTGTCTCAACGAGAATTCCAGTAACGGAGACACCAATACCATGTCTCCTGAGACACCAAGGGTTCTTAAGACACCTCACAGCATGTCTCAGGTTTAAACCTGAATGTAGATAGAGAAGGTCCCCTGAAGCTGTTCCCCGGTGGCGTAGTATGCTCCTCTGTCACTTCCAGCCAAACGTGGGAGGACTAACAGCCCTTCTTTTGAGGCCCAGTTAGATACCTCGACCCCTGAAATATAGAACAAGTTTTAAACATATCTTCTAGCAAACTAAATAAAACCGTAACCAGTGTCTTTCTAGACGTGTGTAATCTGCGTGAAGTGTAGGACGTTGGGTCAGTGTTGAGTCATGGTTGGGAAAATAGATTTAGTTAATGGTTGTGATTAAACATGGGTTTAGGGTCAAGTTTAAGGCTTATTCATGCTATTTACTTATTTATGATATTGTCGTTAAGACATAGTTTACCGTGTTTTACAGTTAGTGGCAATATTTACGAACGTTTCTATTTTATGATCATTTATTGCTGTACTCTGTAAAATTTGAAAAGTTGTACTTAAAAAATCGTCAAATGTCAATACCAACCTGAAAATTTATCAAGTTTAGTATAACAGATAACTATTAACAAGAATTGCGCCCGTTTTTGAAATAACATAGCATAGACGACAGTCTCACAGTCAGCCTGCGCCTGATTTAAAATACCTTACCGTGCTATTGTACTGAAATTAACTAATATGTAAACGCTACCTCGCTTCTAATATATATATAAATATAATAATAACCTAATATATATACAAATATGTTGCATTATCAATTCAATCAAAATTATCGATTTAACTATCATGATAGTGTATAACTATGAGTATTAGGCCCGATGTACTATAGCCAAAATATATAATTTTTATTTCTTTATTCAAATTACAACATAATCATTACAGCCACATTTTAAGCTTTCGCACTCAAAGAAATAATTCAGCTGTACTACTAATAATACCATGATAAGTTTGATACATTCAGTGTTTATCATATACCATAGGCATACCTTATCGGACCTTATTTGGACGGACATTACTTGAACGCTGGAGGCCCTAGCGTTCATCTTAATGTCCGGTCAAATAAAGTCCGTTCAATTAATGTCCGTCCAAGTTAAAGTCCGTTGAAATTTTTTCAAAAATTTTTCCATTTCGAACTTTTTGTCCAGAATATGACAACTATGAGAACTTTATTGTGCCGTAAGTTAACGACGGAAAGGTTCTCCTTGGTCTGCCGGAGGCACAGAAAACTCTACTAGTATATGATGTTTTCAAGGGTCACTTGGCGGAAAAAGTCAACAAAATTATGGCACTCAACAACATAGTTCATGAGCTAGTCCCCGCCAACATAACAAACTTGTTCCAGCCTCTAGATATTACGGTAAATCGCGTTGCCAAGGACATTGTCCGACGTTGTTATAGTTCACATTACTGAGGGGAGGTAATGAAACAGTGCTAGGAAAGCTCCACGTGATGTTAAGGTTAACCTAAAGTTGTCTAAGATAAAACCACTTCACGCCGAATGGCTTGTAAAAGTTAACACTGAAATGCAGGACCGGGGTAGTTTGATAAAAAAAGGTTTCCATGAAGCTAGAAATCACTGATGCTTGTTTAAGCATGGACTATTTCATACACGAAAACCCATTTGATGAAGATGATATGTGATATTAGATACTGATCATGTACACATATTTTAAAATTTTTACTGCTTAATGACTGCTTTTCTTACTTACTGTATAAAAGCCTGGGACCACTACTAGCATTGTCACAACATCTACAAAGCTGCCATATAGCCTACCTACCTATTGAACCAATTTTCTCGACTGACTGACAATGTTTCTTCTTTTTCCCCATTTAGAATACAAAGATTAGTACATTTTAGCTTATGATTAATATTATATTTTCACCTATAGTTTACCTAGATTTAAAAATCATTTGCTGAAATTAGAAAAACCTCAAAAAATTGAAAAAAATTCGGCTTTTTGATGGTTTTGAATGCCTTCGAGCGTTCATATTAATGTCCGTTCATAATTATGTCCGTTCATGTAATGTCCGTCCAAATAAGGTCCGATAAGGTATACACCGCATACCGATTATAATTCATTTAATTTGCTGTCAAAGGTTCGCGTTGGATAAGTTTACTGCGTTGCTATGACAAAATGTGACGGACGAATGGAAGGACAGACTACTTATTTAGACCCACCTAAATCATACTCTTAAATCCCTCTTTTTTACTATTGTCCATTCATAACAATCCTTTACTTTTTTGCTTCGCAACATGACAGGGGTGAGTGGAAAAATATTTGTATATTATTATATCTTATATTATGTATTCGGTAACATAATTACCCATTACCCAGTCACCCATTCTACATAATCATTGTACTCTTCATATTATGTTTTATTCTATTCAACTTGATTATCTATGTAGGTTACTGAAACATTTCTACTGCTGCTGCTGCTGCTTAAAGCATTATTATCAGAATCAATTATACCTGGCTCGCCAATCCCTGTGCGCGGCGCTCTTTACAAGCTTCCTCAACAGGAAGCGTGAGAGGACCGAGCAATAGACTAGCAAGCTAGGTAACATAATCAACAGCATAACTGGAAATAGCTACTCGTGTTATCAATTTTTACAGGTCATACTAACGATGAGTTAAGAGCCAATATAAAACAAAGTTAAACTGCACTTGCAAGTATTTCATGTGATGAATTAGTATTTAACAAAATAGTTGCATAGTGCAGTAACAATATTATGTCGTAGTTCCTTTTATATTGACTCATTTAAACATTTAAATGGTTAACCTCCAGTTTGGGATTTTAAAGTTTTGCTTTGAAATTCGCTTTAATCTTCTTGACTGTATACCATATACTGATAACTCACCGTCATCTAAAGTTAAGTTTAATTGACGACATTGTAAAGACAGGTCCAGTGATCAAGATGCTGAAGATTTTGAGCACAGCAGAGCAGAGGTCTCTTGTAGAGAAGTATGCAGAGTTAACACACCTGAGAGCTCAGACTTTGGAAGCAGAAATGGAAGTGGTGGAAGCTAGACATACTGCTAACAGAACAGCGAATATTCTGGAAGATGCTCTAGGGGTTGGGAACACAATTTTCCGGTATTGGCTGCCCGAGGCAGGGGACGGAGCTGTCAGTGCAGCATCAACATTTAGTGGGAGTGAGCGTGAAAACAAGCACGATGATGGAGCAGAGTTAGGAGCACAGGGTATGGTGATGACTACAATATCGATGGGACCAGCGTTGAAAATATTAAGATCACGTTACGTGGTAGAGGAGAAAGCAGCAGCTGAGGCGGAGAAGCGAGCTCTGGAGAAGGAGTGGGCTCTGGGGCGATTAAAGAAACGGGAACAAGTGATCCTTGAGGCGATAGAAGATATTGAGAGTGGAAGAATAAGCGATAGACAGACTTCATCTTGACGTTTATTTATTTTGGTACAGGGTAACTGCATACCACGATTGAAATTCATCTTATATTTGTCACCTTAGGATTGGGATGATCAATTGCGACTGATTGTTTTTATTTTACACTTTAGTTCAATCGACATTAGACATGGCATGTAATTTCCATTTAATTCATAGATCAATGCAAACATAGGTTAAGAGTTAATGAATAGTGTTATAAAAGATTCACAATTCACATATTTTAATAAGCAAAAACATCTGTAAATAAATATTTTAAAAACTAACATGCATTTCTCAAAAGTGAGTTAGTGATTATTATCATCTTGTATTACTTAAAAACTTTACAACAATCTAAAACTCGTATAATATCGTAAAAGACTGATAAGTGCTAACAAAAATATAATGCAGTAAGAGTTTCCCTTCTATCTTAAAAATAAAGGTCTTAACATTCTTTTAGTTGAAATGTATACCCGTTGTAAAATCTCCTTCAATTCAAAGGAGCAAATAACCTTAAATCGTGAGTTTATTCTCTATATAGTTTATAGAACAATACTCGATTTTTGATTACTACGACATTTAACGTTTGTAATATTTTTCATAAAAATCTGAAAATGGAATGACCAAATTTTCAGATTTCTCTGTGCATTTCCCTAAGCATTTCTTTGTACATATCTCTGATTTCTCTGATTTCATGGAATTCTCTGTACATGTTTGGATAGATGCAACTGGATGTTTGAAAAGACGATGATTCATCTCCAGATCTGCAATGATCTGGGGCGGGTTTGAACCATGCTTTCATAAAAATCAGAAAATGGAATGACCAAATCTTCAGATTTCTCTGTGCATTTCCCTGTGCATTTCTTGGTACATATCTCTGATTTCTCGGAATTCTCTGTACATGTTTGGATATATGCAAGTCGATCTTTCTTAAATCTCTTTGCTGGCATGTTTCGGAATCGCTTCTGATGTTCCAGGAAGTTTAGAGCACTTCCACAAAATATGGGTTTGGCTACCCACTGTATGAGATTCACTATTCTCTGTGCATTATAGATGTGCTTGATTTTAAGTGCGTTTTTGGCCTTTTCCGCTCCACTTCGGATTGCATCCACATCTCCTATTGCAAGAGCAGTTGCAAGATTCAAGAAGAGAACTTGGACAAACAGAGCGAAAGCAATGAGACCCACCAGCGTTGTTGTTGGGTAAATCATTTCTTGGTCGGCATAATCGTCGTATTCGACTCCAGATACTCCCGCAGATAAGGTCTTGAAGATGGCATCTGCGGACAGTATTTTCCTAAAGACATTTGTGTGGCTCAACAGCATGTGGAATACCACCATAAAGGCGATCAAGAAGAAAACTAGCAAGGATAATATCTTTGAGAGGAATGTCCATGCTATTTTGAAGAACATGATGATGTATATTCCAATATTCGGGAATACTTGGAGAAGAAGGAGGAGGTTAATAAAGCTGGTTAGAACGGAGAGAGCTCCAATTTTCCAATGAAAAGGGGACATGACACTTTGCGGTTCCAGCACATTGAGAGAAAAGAACAGACTGCTGCCGTATAAGATAACCTCTAAATAGTTCTCAGGGTCAATAAGATAGTTCATCAAACCTTGTAACCACGCTCTGCCAGTTTCAAGAGGGCTGTTACTTCCACTATCAAGATCTGATCCATTGAAAACATTATCGAGGAGATCCAGAAGCTCAAGAAATAGGCGAATAGCAGACATCACCAGAAGTATGTATCCAAAGATATCACACTCTGCAGATTTCTTCTTTGAGCAGCCATCGGGAAATTCATCACAAGTATGGCTAGAATTTTCAATCCAGGATCTAATAGCTTTATCAATTTCCAAAAGTTCAAATGGTTTGATTTGAGTGAACTGATATCCCATCAGCACGAAGAAGAATATCAGGTAAAGAAGGAAGGTGAAAATATAGAAGTAAGTTCTGGCAAACTTTTCCCACTTTGTAACGATCAAAGCTTCTACCACTGGATGTGTGAGAAGACTATGATTCATCTTTGCCATGATCTGGAGCGGGTTTGAACCGTGCTTATAGTATCCCGAAGTTAGAGGCTTTCCTGTTTCCTCCTCCTCCTTCTTGTCCCTTTTCTCCTTCTTCTTCGTATTCTTCTCCTTCTCCTTCTCCTCCTCCTTCTCCGCATTGACAGTCATAAGAAGCTCCTTTTCACCTTTTTTTCCCAATTCTTCGGAGTCTTTCATTTCCTTTTTCTCCTCCTTTTCCTCTTCACCGTAGTTTTCCAATGCTCCGAAGTCAACGATGACTCGCTGAATGTCTTCATGCTTATTTTCAGAACCTTTGCTACTTTTAGTGAGGATAGCAGTTTTAGTTGTGATTATCGATTTATCCAGGATTTCGAATACCAACTCTGGCATTTTAGTTATCATGATATTGATAGAAGTTTTGCCTTGACCGTTTCGCTGGTGATACCTTATAATGTGTTCATTCATTTTCTCAAAATTTGTCACTGCCTCTTTCGTTCGCAATTTTCCAAATATTCCACTGTCTTTTTCTTTTTCCACATCGTGCGTGCCAGGATTCCGCCCGGGATTAGCGATACGAAATATGTAAGCAAGAGGAGGACTGTACCTGATCATCATAGCACATGATTTTTTATGATAGCGTGTTGCAGCGAAAGTAAATGGAGTCTCCTTGGCTTTGTTAGACATATTTATAGCAAGTCTCGCCTCATCTGGATCCTTAGCTCTGTTCAAAATAATTTCAATCGTGCTATCATAATCCCAATAAGCAGCAGTATGGAGCGGCGTATCATTATCATCATCCTGCTGTACTAGATCAATAAGTTCGTACTTACACAGCTCCTCCACAATGTCTACGTCTCCAAAAGCAGCAGCTAGTTGGAGAGGGCCCCACTTGCCTTCACCTTGTTTGTTAACCTCATCTGTAGAGTAACCGAATTCTTTGCACAAATGTTCCAGTCTTAAATGAGTGTCCCTATGATGGTGACCCTCTTTAACAGCTGTGAAATAATTACTGTCTGTATCAGCATACTTATACTGTGGCATGAAGTTAGGAATGGCATGAAGAGTTGCAGGGCATACCGCACGCTCTATTTTCACTTGAACATTATCATAGTTTTCGTGACGACTTGCGGGTATGTCGATAGCAAAATCAGGTGCTTCAGGATGTACTATATCCATTGGATCTAAGTGTCTCTGATAATTCGCAGGGTCTATATATATTTTTGGTTCAGGTGCCCTTGTCAGTTCATGAACCACTGGTTCAGGTCTTGTCATAATTGGAGTCCTACGTTCTACTGGTTCATCACATCGAAGAGTCGCAGGACATACTCTAGGCTCGGGTTTGTAATATATTGGTTCAGGTGCCCTTGTTATTACATGAACCACTGGTTCATCTCTTGTCATAATTGGAGTCCTACGTTCTACTGGTTCATCATATCGAAGAGTCGCAGGACATACTGCACTAAACTCTTCGTTTTCTACAGAAGAAAGCGTATCACTATCATTCGCAGAATATGATCTATCAGTATCATCTGAATCTGGATGTTCTTTTGATTTATTATATCGAAGTGTCGCAGGGTCTACTCCTTTTTTTGGAAGTTCTCGTAGTTCATAATCTTTTTCACAATCTTTTTCACAATCTTTTTCACGATCTTTTTCACAATCTTTTTCACAATCTTTTTCACAATCTTTTTCAGGTGTCTTTTCATGAACTCTTCTAAGAGCCTCATGAACTTCTTCTACTACCAAATTTGATGGGTCTACAAAATGTGCAATACCTGCGACTCGAAGAGTCGCAGGGTCTACTGCAAAATCCATTAAACTTTCCATTATTCTTTCCATTATTCTTTCTTCTTTTTCATGAGAGGCTTAAAATAAAATTATAAGTTAAACTGAATATGGATTTCAACTATCGATGCAAAAGGTAAAATAAATCTATATAACTTAGCCCATAATCAATTAAGGAATTCGATTTGAATTAAGGGATGACTTAAATAATTCCCTGTCAATATTACAACTAACGATAGTAATTATAGTGAAACATTTTTAAAAATGCGGAAATTAATATAATCAAACTCAGAGTTTTATAACTAACGTTAATAAATTATAGCGCAACAGTAAAAAGAATGCAAAAATAAAAATCGAGTTTAATGCGAGCTAAATGACAGGTAAGGGGAATGTTCGGATTACATGGAGCAATTAGCAGCACAAACACACAGTCACATAATTACCAGTGAATAACAAGAGAACTTTGAAAGCAAACAAACACACAGTCACACAATTACGTGTGAATGATATAACAAGACCAACACGGAATATTTCCTTGGTTCGTAATTTGATAAACTGAAACGTGGACAGCGTGTAAAGACAAATGAGTTAGTGTAACTCGTTTGACGGAGCTTGATTCGTTGGTCAGAAACTGAAATAAAAGTGGATCGGATATATATTAACAGGAAACGATGTAACAGAGTCGATATATTTTAATGTTGCCATGGGGTGGCAAGTCCCCATACATCGTGGTCCGGTAGTTTCATTGCGTCCTAATATCAAGCACAAACATTGTGTTTCACACTTTTTATGTTTCATTTACAAAGTAAACAGACTCGTGATGAAACCAAAGGAATTCCGTGACCAGAAATATAAGAATGGAGCGAAAGCTCATCCTATCTGAGCTTTCGCAATTCGCTCCATTCTTATATTTCTGGTGACGTAATGAGGGGCCGGTTGGGAAATCCTAACCGTCCAGCCATGCTCGTTATTCCATTGGAATTTCCAATGCTGTCAACGACAACATGTTGTCCTGTCCTTTTTCTTAACTGAGCTGTGGCCTGTGCAACTGTCTACAGTAATAATATGATACCTTTATTATGTTATTGTACAATGTACAATGTACCTACCTACATGGTGTTTTAGACAAAGGAACATCGATGCTGAAACGGTCTCCAATCCTCAATTGAAATTAAGGCAAGCTTGACATACAGAAAAAGAAGGGAAATCATGCATATGATACTTACAAGAAACTTTGTGATTTTTTCTGGATAGTGAAAAATGACATGAATGTCATATTACGGTATTCTCATTAAGTCATTAATGTAATATATCTGTGATCTGTAGAGTTGTAATAAAGTACAAAATTAGTGTTGTAATAAAGTACATAATTAGAGTTGTAATAAAGTACATAATTAGAGTTGTAATAAAGTACACGATGAGTGTTGTAATAAAGTACGTAATTAGTGTTGTAATAAAGTACATAATTAGAGTTGTAATAAAGTACACGATGAGTGTTGTAATAAAGTACGTAATTAGTGTTGTAATAAAGTACATAATTAGAGTTGTAATAAAGTACATAATTAGAGTTGTAATAAAGTACATAATTAGTGTTGTAATAAAGTACATAATTAGAGTTGTAATAAAGTACATAATTAGAGTTGTAATAAAGTACATGATGAGAGTTGTAATAAAGTACATAATAAGTGTTGTAATAAAGTACATAATTAGAGTTGTAATAAAGTACATAATAAGAGTTATAATAAAGTACATAATTAGTGTTGTAATAAAGTACATAATTAGTGCTGTAATAAAGTACATGATGAGAGTTGTAATAAAGTACATAATTAGTGTTGTAATAAAGTACATAATTAGAGTTGTAATAAAGTACATAATTAGAGTTGTAATAAAGTACATAATTAGTGTTGTAATAAAGTACATAATTAGTGTTGTAATAAAGTACATAATTAGTGTTTCAATAAAGTACATAATTAGTGTTGTAATAAAGTACATAATTAGTGTTTCAATAAAGTACATAATTAGTGTTGTAATAAAGTACATAATTAGTGTTTCAATAAAGTACATAATTAGTGTTGTAATAAAGTACATAATTAGTGTTGTAATAAAGTACATAATTAGAGTTGTAATAAAGTACATAATTAGTGTTGTAATAAAGTACATAATTAGTGTTGTAATAAAGTACATAATTAGTGTTGTAATAAAGTACATAATTAGTGTTGTAATAAAGTACATGATTAGTGTTGTAATAAAGTACATAATTAGAGTTGTAATAAAGTACATGATGAGTGTTGTAATAAAGTACATAATTAGAGTTGTAATAAAGCACATAATTAGAGTTGTAATAAAGTACATAATTAGAGTTGTAATAAAGTACATAATTAGTTTCAACTAATCAATCTATTTACCAGTTTGCCGAATCGGGACCAGGTATTCAGAAGATGAAATTTAGGGCTGCCGGAAATTGCAGGGAATTGAAATTGCTTTTTATTCTTTAGGACAAATATCAAATTTTGAAAATATTCCAGATTTTGAAAATATGTTAAACTTTGATGATGTTTATTACGAAACTTACTATCACTGACCGATCACTGACCGATTATAAAAAATTGAAATAATTCAAAATTTTAAAAAAATCGTATCTGACTCGGCTATCGGGAGTTGGATACGAGACCCCAATATTTCAATTCAATATTACGATTATATATCTGACTCGGGGCTCGGAAACGAAAGTCGAGACACCGATATCACGATTCTAATTTATTTTTCAAAACCTATATCCAGCCAAATTCTTGGAAACCGGACCGAAACCTGATGTTAAAGACGGATATATCCGGTCGGTCCCTACAACAGATTACTGGAAATTAGAGTCTCACATTATAACTTACCGTCCTTTCGGAACCATCTGAGAGATTTTCCTCTGATCTGTTCAGGTATATTCACTGTCACAGTATAACCTGAAGTTAAGGGTCTGAAGTTAAGGGTCTGAAGTTAAGGGTCTGAAGTTAAGGGTCTGAAGTTAAGGGTCTGAAGTTAAGGGTCTGAAGTTAAGGGTCTGAAGTTAAGGGTCTGAAGTTAAGGGTCTGATAATTGGAGATTAGTCTATCTCGTTCAAATCAGACATTGTGAATAAAATGTGGATGAAAAAAAATTAAAATATTACAATACAACAAGATTCGTACATTCGTCTTCGCATGATAATGATAACATAAAAAACAAACAAACCTTCAACCCCAAGGATGAGTAGGGAGTACTCTTCAGATGGTACTGGAGTTGTGTCGTCAATTACAACAATAATAATAACATGTTTTAACACGCCACCCTGCCCGTCCACAAATTCCGCCCTGTATAATCCTGAAATAACGTTTGTTTTTTTCCAAATCTTACAACTTGCTGACCAAGTTTATCAATTTTCAGGCTGAAACCTAACATTGAATCTAGCCACGCCGGTTACTAAAAGTTTGCCTCAAAAACACACGAAAAGCATCCCATCTAGTTGGACACATACCAGCATAAGAGGGAGAGGGGTTGTAGATATAGATAGAGTTCCCACGAATTTGCAGCACTCCTGGTGATTCCACAACTCGAACCCATTGATCTCCTGGATGAAAAAAAAATCAGTTAATCTTTTGATTATTTCAGAAAATCGAACACGCATTAGATTTTAAAATACCACTTAAATTGAATAAGCTACTGAAGAATCTAGTCACCAATTAGCCGGTGCCAGGTGACGGACCGGAAAGAGTCATTGTCCCAAGTTGCTGTTATCCAAGCTCCTTGTCCCAGTTTAACAGAGATCTTCTCGTCATATTCGTTTCCTAAAAGGTAAAATACATTGAGATAAAGGATGACGACTAACGATTAAGCTAACCATCCAAACGAAATGACGTACGATTAACGTTGAATCACAATTTATTATCGGCAGTTAAAACTGGGCGGTATATTTTCTCACCGGGTATTTGAACATCGTACACAAACGTGGAATCAATGCTCCCATAGCCATAATCAATCTGAGCTTGGTAGAAGCCACTGATTTCCGGTTTTAGGTTCAGAATGGTGAGAGAGCGCCCATCAGTAGACAGTTGGAACTGAGGAAACTGGTTTGCCAGGTTAGGGATGATCCTTAGAACTATATATTTAGTACCGTATGAATATACAAAGCATTTTTAAATAATTTAAAGTCTGAAAACTTCTAAACAGATTGAAAAGTGGCTGCCAAATTGTTTTACAGTGGCCATCTTGTGATTTGAAAACTCAGTGGTTAGAAATCGACCACAATAATAGTACAGACAGATCCGTTTGGAAAATGTATAAATGTATAAATGTATAAATGTATAAATGTATAAATGTATAAATGTATAAATGTATAAATATATAGGGGGGGGGTGTCATGTCCGTCTATGTCCGCCTATGTCCTGTCCTTTTTGGATTCTATGAGACAACGGACGTGTTTTTTGGGACATTGGCGGACACGGACGGACATTGGCGGACTCGGACGGACATTGGCGGACCCGGACGGACATTGGCGGACTTGGATGGACATTGGTGGACATTAGCGGACATTGGTGGACATTAGCGGACAAACATTTGAGGACTGAAGAGTAATGAAGAGTACTGAAGAGTACTGAGGAGGATGGCTGAGAAGGATGGCTGAGGAGGATGGCTGAGGAGGATGACTGAGAGGGAGGAGAAGGATCAGGAAGACCCAGGAGGAGGAGGAGGAGGAGGAGAACTGAGGAGGATGACTGAGGAGGAGGAGGACTTAGGAGGAGGACTGAGGAGGACTGAGAAGGAGGAGGACTGAGGAGGATGGCTGAGGAGGATGGCTGAGGAGGATGACTGAGAGGGAGGAGGAGGAGGAAGAGGAGGAAGAGGACTGAGGAGGAGGAGGAGAAGGACTGAGGAGGAGAAGGAGGACCCAGGAGGAGGAGGACCCAGGAGGAGGAGGACCCAGGAGGAGGACCCAGGAAAAGGCCCCAGGAGGAGGAGGAGGACTGGGGAGGAGGAGAACTGTTGAGGACTGATGAGGAGGACTGAGGACGAGGAGGAAGAGTAGGAGGAGGACTGAGGAGGGGAGGAGGAAGAGGACTGGGGAGGATCAGGAAGACCCAGGAGGACCCAGGAGGAGGAGGAGGAGGAGGACCCAGGAGGAGGAGGAGGAATGAGGAGGACTGAGGAGGACTGAGGAGGAGGACTGACGATGACTGAGAAGGAGGAGGACTGAGGAGTACTGAGGAGGATGGCTGAGGAGGATGGCTGGGGAGGATGGCTGAGGAGGATGACTGAGGAGGATGACTGAGAGGGAGGAGGAGGAGGACTCAGGAGGAGGACTCAGAAGGAAGAGGAGGAGGACTCAGGAGGAGGACTCAGGAGGAGGACTCAGGAGGAGGACTTAGGAGAAATGAGAAGGAGGACTGAGGAGAACTGAGGAGGAGGAGGAGGAGGAGGACTGAATAGGAGGAGGAGAAGGAGGGGGACTGGGAGAGGACTGGGGAGGAGGACTGATGAGAAGGATGAGGAGGAGGACCCAGGAGGAGGAGGACTGAGGACCGAGGAGGAAGAGGAGGAGGATGAAGAGGAGGAGGAGGAGGACTGAGGAGGAGGACTGAGGAGGACTGAGGAGGATGACTGAGAGGGAAGAGGAGGAGGAGGAGGAGGAGGACTAAGGAGGACTGAGAAGGAGGAGGAGGAGGAGGAGGACTAAATAGGAGGAGGAGGAGGGGGACTGAGGAGGAGGATGGAGGACTGAGGAGAAGGATGAGGAGGAGGACTGAGGACTGAGGAGGAAGAGGAGGAGGATGAAGAGGAGGAGGAGGACCCAGGAGGAGGACCCAGGAGGAGAACTCAGGAGGAGGAGGAGGACTGGGGAGGAGGAGGACTGTTGAGGACTGATGAGGAGGACTGAGGACGAGGAGGAGGAGTAGGAGGAGGACTGAG